CTCGAAGCCCGCCCGCCGCAGCTCGGGGCCGCTGTCCAGGCTGAACTCCACGCTCTGGCACGGACACACAAATTCCATTTGTTGCTGACTTAGTATGATCATGCTAATTCCTTATATTAGCCCCTGAAAAATAAGCCTTACAAACAATGTGCTTTTATAATATCAAATTCATTAGAAACTCTGAAAGCTGCTTTTTTTTAATTTTTGAGTTTCTGAATTTTGGAGAGAGGGAAAGAGCAGCCCTTTGCACACTGTCAGGATCCCACCCAGCTCCTGGCACAAACCTGCAGGTTTTATTTCCCTCACCTTCCTGGCTGCCATCTGAGGACTTTGAATGGCCCCCACGGTGATCTCTGCCCTGGCTGGCTCTGCTGAGCCCTCCACAAACTCCAGGAGCAGGAGAAGGGACCTCACTGCTTCTTGTGGCCCTGAACAAACAGCAAGCAGGTCAGCTCTGAGACAGGCAAACGGAGCCTTTGGCCTTTGGGAACCAACAGAAACTGCAGCAGGTTCAAAACAAAGTGATGTGGTATCCCAGGAGCTGGCACAGACAAAGAGATCCTTTCACAGAGTTAGTGAGGAATTAAAGAAAAGGAAGGTTTGGATAATTTGCAATTGCAAAGTGCAATTATTACTTGTTTATCAAGTTCCAGGCTGGTTTTCTAGCCCATGGCACACAGCTCTGTGTCTTTTATTCCTACTTATGTGTGTGTGCCTGGACTTATTTACAGCTCAGGAGTCAGGAGCTGTTTGCATCCTGTCCCATGAAATTAAGGAAGAGTAACTTCAAACCCCCAGAAGTTTCACAACAGGACAAACAGGAGGATCCAGGATATGTGATTATATATGAAATAATTTCTTAAACATTTAATACACCTCAGAGAAGTGGCAGAAAGCAAATGCATCTCAATTCTTCACAGTAGTATTACATTATAATCATTTTTTCAAAGAAGCTGCAGAGGTAGAAGATCATCATTAAGACAAAACTGCATTCAAATGAAGAGAAAAACTTTCCTTAAGAGAAACTTTTGTGGTATTTCTGTGTATTATGGATATATGCTGTAACATAATGCTTATTTTTTCTGATTCTGGAAAAATTGCCTTAAATTTCCTTTTTTCTTAAAGAAAGAGGAACATTCCCATGTCTGATCCCTCCCTGGTCCATAACAAACAGTGCTGGTACTTTACCTTTTCCCAGTGCTTCCTGTGGTGCCACAGCTGGGGTGACAGCCAAGGACTCCACGGGCACATCCAGGGGCTCTCCCCCCTCCACAAACATGAGGTGATCCCGGGCTGCTCCCTTCAGCTGGACCTCGTGGGCTGTGTGCTGGGTGAGACAGCAAATCCTGGCTGTGGGGGACAGCTCTGTGCCCTGCACGGCGCTGGCACCGCAGCCAGCAGCACCAGCGAACGGAGGTGGCATCGCGGTGCCAGTGATCCTGGGCTCCAATGCAGGAGCTCTGCACCTCCCCTGGTTTGCCCACTCTGGCATTTCTGTTTGAACAACCAGGGAAATGTGCCTCAGGAGGGCACTGCACAAACGATTTATACACAAACTACTACAAGAGACAAAACCTTTCTGTTGCCAAACTGGGTCAAGTGTCCGTTCAGGCTCAGCTCGTCCCGCCGTGCGTTCCCAGCTGCAATCCCACCCTCGCTCAGCCCAGCCCT